TTCCACTATGGATTCATATAAATGAGAACGTCTCTGAGTCATATCGCTCTCTTAACTGCGACCACAAGAACGTAAAGAAAGTGAATTTTTAAATTAATTTCAAGTTAATAATCACATGACCTACTGTACAGCAGACGACTAATTGCGCGGAAATATTTTTTTCTTCTTTTTGTTCCTATTCTAAAATCGACATAGCAATTTCCTTAAATCAAATTCCATATGCTGTAAACGATTTCTTTAGCTTTATTTCTTCCAAAGTTTGTGGTTAATTATTTTCCAAAGTAATATTTAATAAATTGTTTCGTCCTTTGAGTATGCTGCTAACAAAATACGAATGTAAGAAGATTAATATACTCGTTGTTATGAGTGATAGTATGGTCGAATTTAAAGAAGAAACTCTATGTGTACATTTTGTATTATAAAGGGATATGATAAAGTTAGTTTCCATAAATTATTGCTTCAAAGTACTTTTAAACTCAAAAACTGTCTTTTAATGTCTTTTATATATATATATATATATAGTGGANAAATTTTCACAAATTAATAATTCAAAAACTCAACTGCTTATTAAGAAAAACTAAATTCAATCCCAATCGAACTTTATATATATATATATATATATATAATAAAATTCAAAAAAGTTGAGCAAAGGATATTATAAATGCCATTTTAATTAAGTATCATTTTCTAATTTCGAACTTAAAAATTAGGCTTTACCTTAATATGTAAATAAACGTCAAATTTATAAAAATTAAAATAATAACTTTTTTATTCCTTAATTTATGTGAAAAAATTATTTTAAAGTTTTAAAGAGGAGTGAACCTAATTCTATAAGCAAACGGTATTATAAATGAAGCTTTTTCTAAATAGTTCTCTAGATTTGAAGTTAAAAATAATGTTCTTTTCTTTAAAGAAATTCACATGATGTTTTTAATTATTAATATTTGTTGTAAAATAACAGTGTGTAACAGTTTTGTGACATTTAATGCCCCAATTTCTTACGGAAATATATGCCTATTGGATTAACCTATATTTTAACATTAATCAAGAAATTTAAAGAAATTTTAAAAATTGCTTTAGGTATTTTCATTAATTTTGAAGTCAAACAACAGTTTGATATCGCGATAATTTACATAGTACTATTTGAAAATAAAGTTTAAAAAAGAAAATACAACAGGTAAAAAAAAATTTGATTATTTATTTATTTATTTTTTGAGCTGGCATTATATATTTAACACGAAATATACTTTCATTTACAGAAGAATCTAATAGTTTATCATCAGTTAATCGGTCAATATTATACAAAGAAACAATTCCATTGACATTGTAGCAGAATGAGTGAATGAATTACCGACCACACGCCTTACAACAATCAGGCTCCGCGGGAAAGCTTTAGCATAGAAAAGGAATACAATACTCAATATCCAGGTATAAACCAGCTCCGCGAAAAGCATTTTCTTTCTTTGTGCTGTGTGTTTTTACTTCNGAAAGGCAAGCATTTGTTAAGCGATATCTGCTTATAAAGAGCGATATCTGCTTATAAAGCTCTTCTTTTTTTCAGCATTGTAGTAACTTTCATGTCAAATATGCAAAAGGGAATGGTTTTAATTTTACAAACTTTGTGATTCTGCTCGAAAATCTAAGTGCGTAGAACTGAAACGATGTTATGAAATGGTGTTGCGCTGTAATAAAGTTTAAATTAGAGAAAAAAATGGAATTGAGTAAATAATCGAATTGAAACTTTCGCTGTTAATCCTAAGAGGAAATGCTTCTTAACAGTTTGTGTTGATAAAACAGATCAAGTGCATATTATCATTTCATTATTTTCGTAAAATATATATTTTCTCCCGACAATAACACATTGTTTATTGGACTAAACTTACTGTGAATTTAAAAAACTAAAATGGTAGCTAAAATAAGAAAATTTTACTTTTAGTTTATCTTTCTCCGATTGCCATTTTTCAATGATGCATACAATACGTCTACTTGTGCACAGCTCAACGTCTTAAATTAAAAATAATCGATTTAAATAAAAAAAATAAATGACATAAATGTTTTACTCAGCATACATTTTACGAAATGGTGGTTCAGGGGATAGAGTGATCGCCTTCCAATGAGGTGAACCGGGTACGAATCCCAGGGATGACTCGTCGATTCGAATTCCACCTGGTTCGCCCCGACCACAGTGCTGACGTAAAATATTCTCAGCGGTAGACGAACCCCTTACCATCAGACTAACCGTGGGAGGTTTTCGCAGATTTCCTCTCCATGTAATGCAAATGCGTATTGCACCAAAACGTCCTCCACGAAGGCACATTTCCCCCAATACTTGATCCAGGAGTTCCCTTGTCTTCTGGATTGGGTTAAAATTGCAAAGTTACGGAGCTAAGCATTGGTAGTCGTAAATCCAAAATTCGATCTGCTGTTCAACGACGGTTATAAAAAAAGCATCGGTATAGTAGTTATGAATAAAAAGAATAATCATAAAAAGAACATAAGAATACTTTAAATTAATATTATGTAATAACATTAAAAATGCACATCGGCGAAAATTAAAAGAAAATTCTCGGTGTGGAAAACCATCAACTCCATAGTTCCAAAATGTTCTAAAATTATCGCCTGCCTTTTTTTATTATTTGATCTTTGCAGTAGCTGATTTTTTTTAAGGATTGCCTTAGCCACATTTAAGACTCTTACAGCTCCTTAATTGTTATTATGGTATTGAAGTTGTTTTAGTGGAAAAGCGCTTGGACAAGAAAAAGCTAGAACATCTATTTTCCGTATGAGTAAAATAGATATAATATTAGAATAAAAAGAATCATTTCATCTCAGATGAATTACAGAAACATTTCGAATCTTCTTTTTCTACTGACAGTGCTACAAAAAATAAGTAGAACAGGAGTCGATTATCTGTGATATATCATCGTAGCGTCTATTCAAAATAGCCAAGATATATGATTTCGGGATTTAAAACTAAAGCCCGGTAGCTTTTGAGACAGATCGGAAAGGTAAATAAGAAAAACAAAATCTAAAAAGTGGAAGAGGATAAGGTCAAAAGAAGAGAACGAATACGGATTTAGGGAGAGAGCCTGCTCATGCGAATAATGTGAGAAAAGGACTACCGCGGCTATTCAGGACTACCCCTCCAGTTCACCCCCTCCCCCCTCAATGCTTCTCCAGGGTCCTTTTCAACTTGGGAAAAAGCTCTAATGTCTCGTTAGAGCACCGAAGCGAAATCTTCGGCTTCTCGTAAACAAAATGCACCTGCACCGACCATCCCTACTCCTGTCTTCTCCGTCGTCCGAAAAACGACCTTTAAACTCATCCGATTAATAGGAATTCATTAAAAAAGAAAAAGAGCCGATTTATGTTTTTATTTGATGATTTTTATTTTAAATATGGCTATTTTGAAATGTTGCATAATTCCTACCATTAGTTTGTTTGCATCATCTTAACTTGTTTTCAATATGAGTTTTTAATAAGGGTAGAAGAATTTTGTTTGTACATTTAAATTTCAGTAAATAATATATCCATGGTGGAAGTAGATCTGAATTTGTTTACGTGAATTTTGTAGCATGAATTAATATTTCATGTGGTAAAAAAATTTGGATTTCATGATGTATCTTAACTTGTCTACACGATCTTACAGTATGAGTATAATATATCGTCATAACAATTGAATTTCATTTCATGCTATACCTCAACTTGTTTACACGAGTTTTTAGTGTCAGTATAACACAATATTGTTATAATAATTGAACTTGGTTTTAATTTCATGCTATACCTCAACTTGGTTACACCAGTTTTTAGTGTCAGTATAACACAATATTGTGATAATAATTGAGGTTAGTTTTCATTTCATGCTATTTTCAGTGTCAGTATAACGCAATATTGTGATAATAATTGAGGTTAATTTTCATTTCATGCTATACCTCAACTTGCTTGCACGAGTTTTCAGTGTCAGTATAACACAATATTATTATAATGACTAAGCTTGATTTTCATTTCATGCTATACCTCAACTTGTTTACGCAAGTTTTCAGTGTAAGTTTGGCACAATATTGACCTAATAAGTTGAAATTGGCTTTCATTCTTGCTATATCAACTTGTTTATATGAGTTTCCACTTTAAGTTTATGGCAATATTGTTCTAATAACCGAGCTTGGATTTTATATTATGATATATCTTAACTTGTTAACCCAATTTTTTTTTAAGAATAAGTTTAATTCCATAGTGTTCAATTGGGCTTGGCTTTGATTTAATGCTGAATCGTAATTTGATAACATGAATTATATGTGTGAATATAATATTTTCAGATAAATCGACCTTTTATTTTAATCTTTTGGGTTAACATAATAATTATAACAGTAATCATAATAAATCTTAGTACGAGAATTTTTCGCATGAGTGTTAGAAAAACTCCGCTTTCATTTTTTGGCTGAATAGAATATAACATGTTTGCATGAGTTTTTCGTATCTGATATTATTTTTAGAAAAATTGGACATTTATTTTGAATTAAAAAGCAAGCTCACGATATTTGTATAAGATATTTTACTAAGCATTGAAAATATAGCTTAAATGCTTATTGATGAGATATTATTGTATATAATGATATATTTATAATATCATATCATATCAATATCATATCAATAATGATATAATAATATATATATTAATATTACATTGATGCCATTTGCATCCAAGTTATTTTTTATCTCATTTTATTAGTTATAATAAATAATATTTCATTATTATTTTTTAGTAGTTAATTTTACTGTGCGCAAAATCGTAGAGATTTTCGTAACTGTCTCTGTTTCTCAAAAATTTAAATTGTGAATCTGAAATATAAGATTTAAAAATGCAATACTAATAGAATTTTTCGTTGAAGAAATTTGATATTTTAATTATAGTCATTTATGACTGCAAAAAATATTTTTTTGACATAATAGTTTTATTCTTTTAATGAACTATTATTTATAATCAAATATTTTTCTTTTAGGTGGGGACGGGAGAAAGCCTCTTTTACCTGGAATAAGAAGTTGCTACATACTTACATAGGACAAGGAGAATCCTTGAATTTATTTTTAATCATTCCCTAAGGAAGAAAAAGATACTCAAGAACAAGATTTAAGAGAAAAAAAATATGAAAAATGGAATCATTTAAATATGAGATCTGGAAACAAACGAAAAATTGGACTCTAATATGTATGTAAGACTGTCTATATATTTGGAAATAGCATGATTAGTGATGTAGTTTAAGAATTATTTCCATAATAAAACTATTGAAATGTAAGATTAAGTTTTCTTTCGAAGTTTGCCGTTTTATGGAAGTTAATCCTACTATTGTTTTGATGACAAATCTTTTATGATGAATCATAAAAGATTTGTCATCAAAACTTTCATATTTATCTCAGGGCAGTATACTTTAATCAGTAGAATTAAAATTTGAATTCAATCTATTGAACGTTAATTAAGCGTTTTCAAATTTAACAATAAAAAATATAATTTGAATGAATTACCATTGATTTATGATCAATTTCACATAAATTACTAATCATAGAAATGAAGTTAGATTGCATTGCTGATTAGTAATTTATGTAAAATTAATCATAAATTAATGGTAATTCATTCAAATTATATTTTGAATTGAATTAATTACCATTAATTTATGATTAATTTTACATAAATTACTAATCATAGAAATGAAGTTAAATGGCTTATCTAGCAAATTTGGTCAAGTATGAAGTTGATTTATTTTGCAATTATGAATGTGAATTTACGAAGAAATTTACAAATTAATGAACGAAGAATTACAAATAGTCCTTTTTAAAGTAAATATATATATATATTTTCCATTAGTTCAAAACAATAATTTACCTAATTAATCGATTTATTAACCAAAGTGGTTCGATTGGCAAAATTAATTTTCTTTTGCCTCAATGACGAATAAATAATGAAGAACTCCCGGTTTATATATTTTTGTTCAGCTATTGTAATTCTTCATTAATTCATTTTAAAACTCTATTTCTTAATTGTTATAGCAATGCAATAAATCTTTTACGAAAGTGACTTATTCTGCAAACAATAGAAAAAACTCATGAGGAATTTAGCACTGAATCAAATTTTAAAAACTTATGATGAATTTAGTACTGAATCAAATTTAAAAAACTTATGAGGAATATAGTACTGAATCAAATTTATATCAATTCGAATTTATACTATTATCAATATTTATATTTCAAAAATACATATATACAGTTGTTTAAAAAGAATTTTTTTTTTTAAATCTGCCACATTGTTGGGGTTACTTCGCAATAATAATTACATTAATACATTACTTCGCCATAATAATCGGTACAAAATTGAATCATAATATCAGCACCTATCGAACCAAAATACGATGAAAACTTGCTACAACTAGGGTGGTAAAATTGCATCATGCTTCTGTTCTGGTAGAATCACATTATTATATAATCAAGGTTTGCAAGTACAATTGTATAGTTAAATTTAGCACTTTATTAAGGTTGCTGGAAATGGTTCATGACTCAATGTTTGTCTTATGGTTCAACAATTAACGGTTATTTAATGATTCAACACTCAATGGTTGTTTTATGGTTCAGGACTCAATAATTGTTTCATGGTTTAACACTCGATGGTTGTTTTATGGTTCAACACTCTGATAAATTTTTAACAGTTATTTTTAATTATATTTTACCAAAACTTATTGAGGTGAAAATTTCCCATGCTTAATAGGCTGTGTGTGCAATTAATAATTTCATTGAAAAACATAATATATCAACAATAAATTGTAGATGTAATCGATTAATATATCACAATAAACTGTAGTTTAAATTTCAGTAAAAATACAAAAAATTTTTATTCATATTTAAAAAAAAATTCTATGTTATAAATTAAGCTCTTGTATATTTTAAAGTAAATATAAATATTTTGAAATCATTTATCATTATTATTCACAGTTCTAAGTTTGAAATGCCCACAACTTAAATATGTCTGAGTCTTCGGTAATCGACTTTTTTTCCCTCCCGTCCGTTGACGACCTTGGTCGGCGAGGCGGATGCACAATTTCCCGTCGAAGTAAATTCCCACCAAATCAACAGGATAAAAAAAAAGTCCCTGAAAAATTGTGCGGAATTATTTCTACGCATGACTTGCTAAAATTATAGCGAAATTTCAAGGTCTGTCATCGACTAATTGCGAACTCGACATTAGTTTGCAAAAACAGAAAGTGGTAAAATTATTTTTTAAGCCAATAGAACGGCGAAATTTTTATATTAGATTGCTGATTTTTTTAATGTAGTGAGAACTATTACGATTATGCAAAAATGGTTATTATAGTGAATCAAAATAAATCCTAATTGAAATTTATGTTTAGAATAAATTTGATGAGCTTGAAAATGAAAAGAATAAATACAAAGAAATGGATAATAATTTGTAGAATAATATTTAAATGCAATAAAAAGTATTTAATAAAAATTTTTAGAATGTTGTGAATACCGTGAAATGGTTTTATTAATAACTTGTAGAATATTATGAATACCGTGAAATGGTTTTAATCAATAACTTGTAGATTATTATGAATACCGTGAAATGGTTTTATTAATAACTTGTAAAATATTATGAATACCGTGAAAAGAGACTAAAAATATTTAGTTAAATATTATGATTGCCAAGTTCAGATATTAATAATAATTTATAGAATGTTTATTAATCCCATGAAAAGAAATTAATAATAATATTTTTTGAATCTGTTATAAAAATATAGAGAGAATATTTTTTTATTTTATTTTAGTATATCTAAAAAATAAGTATTGCAGTGTTCCATTATTACAAAAAAGATGTTTTTACGTGTTTTAATTTTATTCTAAAAAATGTTTTCTTAAAAAATCTAATTTTATTGCTAGAAAATCTATAATTAAAAAGCTTTCTAATTGATGTTACATGTCGTGCGAACTAATAGAAATTATCTATTTAGTTATTTTCATTATGTATTTTTCATTTTATTGTCGTAAAGGTAACCCGAAATTTTATTAAATAATTACAAATATTCTAATAAATAATAGTGATCATTTCGAACAATAAATCTTTTAAACTGTAAACTAACAACATGTGGGATGCTTTGAAGCAATTTTGAAAAACTTAGAAGTTCTCAGTTTTTATTTGAAAATCCTTAAAATAATAAATTACAAAATAATTCCATGTGTTTGCGAGAGCTGTGTATTTGAGGTAGCTTAAATTGCATCAAAAAAATTGAAAAAATATACTACATTTTTGGTTAATTGCATTACAAAAGTTAAAATACATGCTTTTCATGTATTTACCACAAAATTATACGAAACATATAATGAAATTTCTATTTTTATTACATTATTATTGTTTAAATTATTTTCTGTTAAGATAAGCATTAGTATATATATATTTCACTGTTTATTTATATTCAGTAGTAATAAGAAATTCTCTTTGTTTATCACATTAGTAATTATTTGTAATTTTACATTTTTATCATTAATAAAAAGCTTGTAGTAGTAATGTTTTTCATGAAAATCAATTTACATGTAATCTAGTATAACATCAATACACTAGCAACCTACCTGATATCGATACAAAAAAATTTTTTTTTAACAAAAATAGCGCTCAGACCAGCACGTGGTGGCTGAAAGAATTTTTTTTTTATACAAAAAATTAACTCTTTTGTGTATCAATCAGCATATGAATTGCTGTTTGCAATCACTCTTTCCTCTCCTTAATATCCACTGCGTGCACTAGATGGCGCTGGTAGTCTCTCTTTTCATCTCTGCTGCGTTTTCTCCTCTGTGGTCTTTAGAAAACTGAAGTCTCCTATTGAAAATCCTCCAAGATCTGAATCGACATTTGTGCGAAACTATTGTCAGGAAGTCTGACTAGAACGACAAACGCTTAAAGTAGGCCTAAACTGTTCGAAAAGCTGAGAGAGCTAATAAACGCAACGCTGAATAGGAGAGAGACCCTTTTGAAGTTAGCCTTTATATTATCAACAGAAGGTCTCTCTTTCTCCATTCTTGCAATAAAGGGGATATCTGTTGAATTCGTTTTATATAATACACCCCCTGCTCTCCCCACCCTTTACAATTCAGTGCAACAACTTGGAAAAATCACTTTGCTTCTTTTGTAGTATTTAAAATGAGATAAGAGAATTTGTTTGTTGGTATTATCTGTACTTGATTTTCTCGCGTGCCATCAAGTGTCGGCGGTATTTAAGAAAAGAAAGTGAAATTTTTATTTTATTTTTAGGAAAAAGGATAAATGGAAATATGAACACTTTTGTAAATCTTTTCAATGAATTCTCTCTTCTCTTTTTTTTTTTCCACAGGTCCTTTTGTGTAGTATTTATTGACTCGAAATTTGAATTGATAGTAAAGACTTCATTCATGAAGTTTGTGAATGAGTTGTAGTGAAATGTAGTAGCACGTGGCTTTTTGTTAGCATTTTCCGCTTTATTAGGTGCAATACACTTGTGTTTACATTTGGTTGAACATATCTGGTTCCAAATGATCGGTTAATTTTGAGACGCTTTGAGAATAATTCTCTCGTAGAACGAAATCTAAATCAGGTTATTTTTGTTACTTAAATTTACAGAAAACGTTACCCACCTATATGCATCAAATATTTACCTATCTATATGCTTCAAATTTGAGACACGTAACAGTAATTTTCTCGAATAATAAGATTTAAAGCTCACGATTTATTTTTTAAATTTATGTTAATCTAATTTTCGAATTCCAGCTCGCTATACCCACTTATAAAAATGCATCAAATTTGAGACATGCAAATAGTAATTTTCTCGTATAATAAAATTTAAAACTCGTAATTTATTTATTTAGTTTTTTTTCTTCTTTTAATTTACTCAAATCTAATTTTCGAATACAAGCTCTTTAAAGCTGCCCATAAATATGTTTTAAATTTTAAAAACATTAACATTAATTTAGCAAAAAGCTAAATTTAGTGCAGTTTTTTTGCTTAATTATTCTCAAATTAAAGTTTTAAACATTATGCAAAAAATTCTTAGAAGACACTGATAAATACACTTTACCCAAAATTTTTTGTTAATTGATCGCAGACTAAGTTAAGCTTTTTATTACTATTTCTTAAACTTTAAATGCGTTTACTGCCTGTCCAGATATAAGTAAATAGTAAGTTAAATATTAAAAATCATTTCGTTTGAAATTGATTTATAATACGTTCACATTTGCTGCATGGTGCTAATTCGAGCAAATTATTTCTTCCTTAACTTGATTTTACAATAAAAAAACGTTAAATTTAAACGAAATGTGTTTAAATTTAATGTCTAAAATAGTTATATCCACAGTATTGCGGTTAATGATGCCAAAGAAAAATTAGCTCAACATAGAAATGAAAAATTTTTTTCCGTCTATTTTTGTCTACAAAATTTTTAGAACTAATTGCGTGTTTGTTTTAGTAAAAATCGAAGTTTTAAATGCGTGTTATAAAGTTCTCTGAACGAAACAGAACTTACAATAATTTTAGTTTACTGCTTTTCGCTATTTTTCTAATTTTTATCTGCATAATTTATCCGAATTTTAAGTTTTCTTATATTTCTATTCAATATTCTTTTGTAGATTTCCATGCATCGCTACGAAAATTTATTTACTTGAAATAAATATAGAATTCAGTTAATCAAGCTTTTTTTTTTTTTTTTTTTTTTTTTTTTTTNTTTTTTTTTTTTTTTTTTTTTTTTACCCTTTTAGCTAATTCTATATTCAGGTTCATAATATCACAATAATCAGATTTTATAAATAATTTTCTTTTGAGAAGTTAAAATATTAACTTTGTTAAAGCAATAAAATCTTTTAATCAGCGAAAATATAGTTACATTGGATTGCATTTTTTCGTATGACGCATAAAATAACACTGATTTTTTTCCCACTTATAAATGGAAATTTTTTTTCTTTGGGTTGCTTAAGTAAATAAATCTAGATATGGATATAAATCAACTATTAGCTATCATATTCTAAGCAGATGTCCCTACCCAATATAATTATATCAATATTGTAGCGTATTTATTTAACAAACAAGCATAACGATGTTTATAAATCTAAAAATTCTTTGGTAATTATTATCTATGGTAGCTGGATTATCGTTCATTAAAATAAAATATCCATTTATAACGAACGATTGACAAAAATAATCCAATCTTTAATATATTTCATTTAAAAACTGACATCTCATTTAGTTTATTATTTTTCATTTAATTTGAAGTTGAACTTGTGTCTCTGGTCAGATTTGTACAAGCGAAGTCACTTATGACAAACTCTGTTACAATTATTGGGATCGCTACATAACCAGAGCTATGGAGTCGGAGTACAACTATTCAACTCCGGACTTTCCTTAGAGCTCGACTCCAGCTCCACTAATTAAATTTCAGCGAATCCTAAAAAAATATTAAAATTATAAAATAAACATCAATTTAAAAAATTGTGTATTTCTGTTTTATTGCTTTTTTTCTAAACAATCTCAGTTAAAAATATTTTATTTAAAACTGAATTTTATATTATAACAAAGCACTTCAAGAAATAAATTTTAAAAATTATGTTTAAAAAAATAATGAAATTGTGTAAAACTATTATAAGAAAAAACCTAGATTTGAATTCTAATTTTAAAGTATTTTTTATACAAAATTGTTACTATTTAATAAAATTATAAACGTATACTTCAATAAAAATATACAGTTTTAAATAACTATAGAAAATTATTAAAATTTCATGAAAGTAATGCATTAACTTTTCAAAATTGATGTAATTTGAAAAATATTTATAAATAAATAAATAGGTTATTGTTAAGAAAAATTCAGTACGACAAATTAATCGAAGGAAAATAAATAAAAAAAGGTTTTTTTAAAAATGTATATTATATGATTTGTATAAAAACCATAACAGAAATAATTATGCATATAATTCCATTCGTATCCTATTTTTCGTATCCTTTTTAATTAATGCACACAATTTTATGTATGATTGCGTATTTTAAACGTATATAACAATTACTCCAAATTCAAGCTGTATAAAAAGAAATTTAAGTACAAAACTACATTTTCAGATAAATGTTATTAAAATAATTTTTAATTTATTTGAAAATGTTATCATATATATGTATAATTACATTTTGTTATATATACATATATATATATATATTATTAGTTAATATATTAACAATATATAATAATATATTAATAGCTGCTGTATAGGTTGTAAGTGTAAACTGTACTATTGTCAGTGAATTAATGTTGTGAGTGCATACTTTTCAAAAACAAAGAATTTATAAATTTAAAGAAAAAAGAAGAAAAAATCAAAAACATCTCTTGTTGGATTTAATTTTCAAACAATAACTCTCTTCGTTGAATAAAATTTCTTAACTTTTCACCTGAGGAGAAAACGTTGAACTGTAATTAAATTTGCTATTCCATGTAAGAAAAAAAAAAGATTGTACAAAAATTACTTTTGAAAGTAATTTCGAATTCTTAAAAAAAGATATGAAAAAAAGAAAATAAGATCAGGGAAAAGACCCCGTAAAATTATTTCCCGTACAGTAGTGTTTCATCTTTCCCCACCTGGCACCGCCTCTTAGCGAAACGTCACATGACGTAACGAGCCGGTTCTTGCCACGAAACCCGGAAGCCAATCAGCACCGAGTAGGCGGTTCCCGTTGATAGGCTGGTCTGGAGAATCGATATGCTAGCCGAATCCCGTGAGTTTGTTTCAAACTAACCTCGGAGAGTAAAAGACGCTCGTATCGACGGAGCGCTTTTTCAAAACCTGAAAGCGACGTGTTATCTGTTTTGACTCCGGCTTTTGAGAACGACTTCGTGCGCTGATATTTGTTTACATTCGTGCGCCTCTTCATCGAGCGCTTTGATCAGTGAACTTGATTTGTTTCAATATTGACTTTTTGCGTAGTTTTTTTTGTAGAACTGGCGCAAAGTGTGTGACATTTATTTTTCGTACCAAAACACGGATTCAAGCTCCACCATTCGGCCCTGTAGTAGCCAGTACTGCCAGCAGTGCTGCAGCCCGCACTCGCTGGACCAGCAGTCAGACGCGGCCAGTCCCCTTGTCGCCCCAGTCATGGATAGAGATTATTCTGCCTACCATTTTGGAATGACCCACACAGGGGGTCTAGATCCGTCAGATTTGAAAGTTGGGGGTGGTGGAATGGTTCCACAGCACCACTCCCACGCCACACATCCATCTCAAACTCACCACCATATGACCGCAAGCCATCATTCTCCGACAGCGATGACCAACAATCAAGGCCACCATCAAACTTCAATGGGTTTGACGAGCAACGGTGGTACTGGAGGCGGTGGCAACAACAATAGCGGCGGCAACAACAATAAGAAAGACGCCGAACGAGTGAAAAGACCGATGAATGCCTTTATGGTTTGGTCACGTGGCCAGCGGCGCAAGATGGCTCAAGAAAATCCAAAAATGCACAACTCCGAGATCAGCAAGAGGCTCGGCGCTGAATGGAAATTGCTGTCTGAATCGGATAAAAGGCCATTCATCGATGAAGCAAAAAGACTGAGAGCTGTCCACATGAAGGAACACCCTGATTACAAATACAGGCCTCGAAGGAAGACCAAAACCCTGATGAAAAAAGACAATCAGTTCAAGATGAGTGGTGGATTGATTCCTGGTGATACACGGCCCTCGTCGGGTGCCGTTCCTCAAGTTGGCCGCGACATGTACTCGATCAACGGCTACATGCCCAATGGATACCCTAGCATGATGCATGAAGCAGCCGCACAGGCTTACAATCAGCATGCAGCTTACAACTCCCACATGTCAAACACTGGACTGTACTCTCGTTACGAAGTTCCCCAAATGCACACACCTATGACCACCTCACCGTCTTCGATGTCCATACCTTACATGAACGGTAATTCTAGTTACTCAATGCCTATGTCCTCATACGCGTCCATGCAGTCCTCGCAACCCATGGGGGGCTCCATCAAAGCAGAGCCCAGCTCCAGTGGTACAAGCAGCCCGAGCTCGATGCCCCCCATACCGATTTCCAACTCACGACCCCGCTGCAACAACGAGTTACAGAACATGATTATGACTTATTTACCCCAAAACGATGCATCAGACCCAAATGGTCTGAATAGACTTCAAATGGCTTCACATTATCCAGGAGTAGAAACACTTAGTTCTGGTACAATGCCCCTCTCTCATATGTGATTTTTCAAACATACAACAAATATACATTTTTATTGTGAAAAAGAAAAAAGACTTGTACAGATTTAAATGGACACTGGCATTACAAACTGTGTATTATTGCTGGACTGCTGATGGCATCAAGGCACGTAAGTAGCCTTACAAAGTTTTTTTTTTTAGTTGTGAAAACAAAAAAAAAGTTTTTTAAAGAGACTTTAATCCAAAGTTAGCCTTAGAACTGCATAGTTGTTATCATTATCATTGGTTGAAACTGTTAAAGACTTTGTGAACTATTTAGTTTTAAATGTTTTTATAATTGATACCACGTTCTATATGTTTTAAAATAATTCTTCATTAAAAAGGAATTAAAAAATCAAAACAGTTTTTTTTCTTCTTAAATCTGAAAGGCACTTTTCTAACGTTTTTTCTTATCTAATTATTTTTTTTTTCAAAGATAGATATTTATCAATATTATGTAAACAGTGTTGATTGTAATGAAGTAAGGTTTTGCTGAATGCAAATATTTATGAATTACGTTAGTATGAGTCCGACATGTAATATAGTATATAAATTTTGAAAAAAAAAAAGGCATGAATGTATTATTTGTACATAAAAAAGAAGACTTTTGTGTGAGAGAAATTAAATTCCCATTTTATCTTGCACATCAATGTGATTTGCCCCTTTTTTCAATTGAATTCTATTCGCTGCTGCAACATTGGATGTCCTAAGTGCAATATACCGCGAGCCGCTGCAAACGTTCTTTTTTATAATTAGAATTTATTGCGGAGATCTCGCGAATATTTTATTGTATTGCAGAAATAATATTAAAACAAGTTCTTTATTGCTATAAGCTTAAAATGATTCTTTTTAATATTTGAAACTGTCTATATGAGCACTACGAAAAGACAATACTTAAAGTAAAAAGAATTTTTTTTCACATCTATGAGTCTGATATAATCATAGTTTTGCGTTTTGATATTTTATATCTACAGAATACATAAAATTTGTGTCAATTGTTCCCTAAAAAGTATTTTTCCGTGCAAAATTTATAATTTCCTTTTTGCAAAATTAATAATTCCCTTCTCCCAAATTTTCATCTGTGTGAAATTTATATTTCCTGAAAAATATTTATAGAAATGTATTATTATTTATGTGTATAGATTATATAGTCCCAGTTTTTAATTTTTTATTATTAATCAGTTTTGATTAGTAGACAATATTACTTGCGATTTTAAATTTTTCTTTTTATTAAATTAAATTTTAAACATTTATAGCTAATTCATAACGATTTTAATGTTGTGAAGCATACGATCAGAATTGTTCACGTAGCACTCAACCAAAAATGAATTTTTCGGAATTCACATTTTTATCATATATTTGAATTTCATTTAATTCTAGCATTAATTTTTATTTAATGAGATTAAAAAGTTTTAAATTTATAACATTTTTCTAGTGTTTTTTCAATAAAAGAAATGTATTTCTGTATTGAACGTATGTTTTTGGGAGAAAATATACGTTTTTCATGTTCTAGAAGAAAAGAGATCTTAATTTATTTTAATATAACAACAAAAGAAAATGTATAATTTTTTTTCTGCTTTTCAACAAGTTTGATTGCTACTGTAAAGGGTAAATATTTTTATTCTTTTGAGTTTATCAATTTTATTCCCCCCAAAAATTTTTTAATCTCAATTTTAAGTTTCAAATGAAAATTTGGCAGCGAAGATTCTTCTCTGAGATGAGGAGGATTTCCATCTATTTTTGCAGCAGCGAATTAGATTCGAACCCATGGTTTTGTGTTCCCTCATCTGTATTATACTGCCATTTATTGAAAAAAAGACTTTATGTTTTATTTGTTCAATCATCTGTAAATAGTCATATATGTCCTTGTAAAAATTTCATTTATGACACAATTGCTGTGTCCTCTTTCTTAGTCAAGAATACTTTAAAAATAAAAAAAAATGGCAGAGAATTATCTGAATTTTTTCTTTGTGTTTGAATACTTTTACTTTCATTTATTAGTTCATATTTAGTTCAGAACTCTCTATACGGGAAAGAATTTTTCTGAGTGGTGCGAAGTAAAAATTTCAACAGAATCGCAAAAAATATGTTTTATTATAAGTTATATTACAAGTTTCAACATAACTGCTAAAGATAAGTTTAATCATATGTTTTAACATTACTGTTAATGAGGATTTTATCAGTTTCAACGTAACTGCCGAACAAAAATTTTAATACAGGCTTCAATATAACTGGTATAAAGGAGTTTTATTTTAAATTTTATTATAAATGCTAAAAAGCAATTTTATTATGAGTTCTAACATAACTTATATTTAGTTCAGAACTATCTTTACGGGAAACAAGTTTTCTGAGTAATACGAATTAAAAATTTAAACAGAATCGCTAAATATATGTTTTATTATAAGGTTCAACATAACTGCTGAAGATAAGTTTCATTATATGTTTCACCGTAATTGCTAATGAGAATTTCTGTAAGTTTCAACATAATATCCAAAGAAAAATTCTATCATGAGTTTTAATATAACTAGCAAAAAGGAGTTTCCTTATAAATTTCAATATAAATTCTATATTTAAATTTTATTATGAGTTCCAATATAACTTATATTTAGTTTAGAACTATCTTTACGGGAAAGAATTTTTTCTGAGTTATACGAATTAAAAATTTCAACAGAACTGCAAAAAACATGTTTTATTACTAGTTTCAACATAACTGCCAAACAAAAGTTCTATTACAGGCTTCAATATAACTAGTAAAAAGGAGTTTTATTATAAATTTCATTATAAATGCTAGAAAGAAATTTTATTATGAGTTCCAACATAACTTATGTTTAGTTTAGAGCTATCTTTACGGGAAAGAATTATTTATGAGTGATAAGAATTAAAAATGTCATTATAACCACACACACGAAAAACAAAAGTTTTAATCTAACTGCTAAACCTACCTTTCATTACATACTTCAACAAAACTGCTAAAGAGAATAAGTTTCAATATCAGTGCTAAAGAAAAATTTTATTATGAGTAGCTGCTAAGAAGAAGTTTCATTAGATGTTTTAATATAACTGCTAAATAAAAGTTTTATTTTAAGTTTCAATATGAATGATAAAGAAAAGTTTTGTATGCTTTTTAAAAACTGCTAAATAGAAGTTTGGATGGAAAAAAAATGATTTTTTTTTGTGTTAAAGCTTTTATTGGCCGTTTATTAGTCAGTTAGTGTTAGTTACCGAAAACATTAGACATAGCATTTATTTTCTACTAGTTACTTATTTAAATTTTTATTAAAAGGTCAATTATGAACTGTTTTTAATGTATAAAAGAACAATTATGTTTTGCTCACTTCAGTTTCGAATTGATATCAAACGAGGACCGAATATTATGAATAAATTAGGCTAGTTTCCAAATAATATCTTGTAACTGTATTAATTATTCTGAAAGCTAACATAATCAGCTTGCTGTTAGGTTAAAAGTAAGTGAACCTAAAATTAATCTTATTATTTTAGTTTGCAGAATAATTAATGCAGTTTGTCGATGTTATTTACCGATGAATTAGAGGATTAATTTACAAATGTGTAATTTCTCAAAATTACAACTGAAAAATTGATTTAAAAGTTGTTGGTTAAGTTAGATGGTTAGGAATATCAATACTATTTGCGAATTTAATTTGCTAACATTTAGTATGCAATTGCTTGTCAGTTTTTCTAACGCACAATTGTAACTAGTTATCGTTTCTGATTGCAATGTATAGTTTTATTTTAATTTTAAATGTTAACATTTTCCTAAACCATATTAGAGAAGCTTTTTTTTGTGTCTAAAAATCCACAAGTAGTTTTCACAACAGAATTAGCCTTTTTTTAACGTTAAAATAAAAAGTATTTTTAATACTTTATTGAAATTCCAGATGGTATGCTAGCTGTTATGTTTTATTCTTAGCATAATAAGCTTTAACTGCAACTAGCTCACATTTTTAGTTTCAAGATTAACGATGTACGATTTGGAATTTACTTTCATTTGCGATTCAAGAAAAGGAGTATGGTTTTGTTACTTATTTACGGCATACTGCTATAAACAGGAAATTTAACTGTCATATTTGCAAACTTTATAATACAATAAATTAAATGCACTAATGCAGTTACTACGTTTTTATTAACGTTAGCATTCAAATAAATACATTCTGTTTAATGCATTACATTCTATTTAATATATTTATCAAATAAATATATTAAATAAAAGCCAGCTTTTTGCATTCAAATAAATGCCTTATGTTTAATATATCAAATAAATATATTCAATAAAATGAAGCATTTTACATTCAAATGAATACATTAAATTTAATATATTTATGAAATTAATATACAAAGTAAAGTCAAGCATTTTGCATTCAAATAAAATTACGAAACATGAAATATATACCACAATAAGATTTTTGTAATTTACAAAATAATTTTTTTCCCCGTATGTTTTTTGACTGAAAACATTTTACACGAAATTAGTTATTTTGAGTCTTAAAAAGAATTATTAATTTAAATAAATTAAAAATCATATCAAAGCATTCTTTACATAAATAACTATTTTTTTACTAATTATTTGTAAGTTGCGTTATATTTTAATGTAAATTACTAATGCAATCAATTGATTTTATTTAAACATTAACAGAAGATAGTTAAAATGCAATAAAAGGTTACACCAAGACATTTAAGGATTAAATAGTTATTTAAGAGCAGCCATTAGTTACATAGTTTTAATGCAAAATGCGAACGCAATGTTTAAATCTTACTCTGACATAGAGAATAAATGCTGTGTAAAACATCGATAATTAAAAGCATTTGAGGTTCTGAAGAAGAGGTTTCTTTAAAAAAGAATCGCGAAACAATTAAAAAAAAAAATTAGACGTACCCTATCAAATCAATTGACCCTAAGAACAAGCAAGAAGTGACATAATAAAATCCCATACATTGTAACGGTCTTTCTCTCGCGGCAATTTTCCGTGTCGTTAACTGCTACATTAGCCGACCCCTCCAAAGTCTTTATTTGGTTTTCCCAGCCTCAGTAGGCTTATCGGCAATTTTGTTCTAACATCCATTTGGCACGCGACTCAAACGGTTCGTTGCCGAAACTACCCCTGACGTCGATACCGAACCGGGCGTTGAAGATTTCAATTTTATACGTTTTCATGATATGTTGGTTGAGATAAAGTATATACAAATAGCCCGGTTGGTAATTGAATGGCTCATTTTTGGTGCTCGAAATGAGATTGTGTTGTATTTGTGGACGTGTTTAAACAATGCAAGTAGCTAATTTATTATTAAATGGGTTTCAATAAAGTGCTTTTACAACCCGTAAACGGTCTGGCACGTTTTGATTCGAATTAAAAAGTTCCATATTTAATTTTTCGAGAGTACAAAAAATATACAAATTGGGCAATTAATATTTAATTTCATACGTTTTTATGATGTGTTGGTTGAGGCAAAGTACGTACAAATAGCACTGTTGGTAATTGAATGGCTCATTTTTGGTGTTCGAAATGAGATTGTGCGGTATTTGTGGAAGTGTTTAAACAATGCAAGTAGCAAATTTATTATTAAATGGGTTTCAACAAAGTACTTTTACAACACTTAAACGTTCTGGCACGTTTTGATTCAAATTAAAAAGTGCAATATTTATTATGAGTGCACAAAAAATGTACAAATTAGGCGATTAATATTTAATTTCATACGTTTTTATGATATGTTGGTTGAGGCAAAGTACGTACAAATAGCACTGTTGGTAATTGAATGGCTCATATTTGGTGTTCGAAATGAGATTGTGTGGTATTTGTGGATGTGTTTAAACAATGCAAGTAGCAAATTTATTATTAAATGGGTTTCAATAAAGTGCTTTCACAACACTTAAACGTTCTGGCACGTTTTGATTCAAATTAAAAAGTGCAATATTTATTATGAGTGCACAAAAAATGTACGAATTAGGCGATTAATATTTGAATTTAGACGCTTTTATGATGTGTTGTTTGAGATAAAGTACGTACAAATAGCACTGTTGGTAATTGAATGGCTCATTTTTGGTGTTATAAATGAGATTGTGTGGTATTTGTGGAAGTGTTTAAACAATGCAAGTAGCAAATTTATTATTAAATGGGTTTCCATAAAGTGCTTTTACAACACTTAAACGTTTTGATTCTAATTAAAAAGCGCAATATTTATTTTTTGAGTGCTCAAAAAATGTATATATCGAGAGTTCAATATTTAATTTTATAGATCTTTATGATATGTTGGTTGAGATAAAGTATACATATAACCTGGATGGTAATTAAACTCCTCCTGTTTTGGTATTCGAAATGAGATTATGAAGTCTTGGCCATTAAACAGTAGGGGAGAGTGGGGTCAATTGNGCTCGAAATGAGATTGTGTTGTATTTGTGGAAGTGTTTAAACAATGCAAGTAGCAAATTTATTATTAAATGGGTTTCAATAAAGTGCTTTTACAACCCTTTAACGGTCTGGCACGTTTTGATTTGAATAAAAAGTTCCATATTTAATTTTTTGAGTGTACAAAAAATGTACAAATTGGGTGATTAATATTTAATTTTATAAGTTTTTATGATGTGTTGGTTGAGATAAAGTATATACAAATAGCACGGTTGGTTATTGAATGGCTCATTTTTGGTGCTCGAAATTAGAGTGTTGTATTTGTGGAAGTGTTTAAACAATGCAAGTAGCAAATTTATTATTAAATGGGTTTCAATAAAGTGCTTTTACAACACTTAAACGATCTGGCACGCTTTGATTCAAATTAAAAAGTGCAATATTTATTATGAGTGCTCAAAAAATGTATATATCAAGAGTTCAATATTTAATTTTTTGATCTTTATGATATGTTGGTTGAGATAAAATATACATTTAACCTGGATGGTAATTAAACGCCTCTTGTTCTGGTATTCGAAATGAGATTATAAAGTCT